GAGTAGGACTACTACGCAGGCGCAGGAGGGGAGGGGCCAAAGTGGCGGGGGGGAGGGGGAAAGTCAGCGAGATGGGGGAGAAGAAATTGGAGGGTGGGGAAAAGAAATGGAAGGGGGGAGAAGAAATAGGGGGATGGGGAGAAGAAATGGGGGGATAAGAGACAACGGGGGTGCGGGGGGAGAAAACAACGGATGGGGAGACGGGGGGGGAAGGGAAGGATGGATGGGGGAGCGAGCGCGCGACAGCGGGCGTGCACGAGTCCGAGCAGGGCAGGGAGGGGGCGGGCAGACAGGCCAGGCAGGAGCGCGCGGCCACGGCGCGAGAGCAGAGGACTGCGCGGCGCGGCACGGCGCTCGAGGCCCACCAGCAGCGGGCCGGAGCGCACGAGCGCCTAGCCGGGGCCAAGCAAGCGGGTGGGAGGGCGTGCGCGCGCTGGGACGCGCGCCGGGAGGCCGGCCGCCGCGAGAGGCGGGGTGGCACCGACGGAGGGCCCCGGGCTCCAAGGAGGGGGGAGCAAGAGCGAGGGAGGGGGGAGGGAAGGAGGGACGCCATCCACCAGCCCGGCCCGGCTCGCCTCCCCGACCCCGCGGCCCCCGCCCGTGCTGCCTCCTCTTCGCGGAGGGGCCCCCGCCCGCGGCCACAGCGGCGCCACTCACAGTCTGTCCTCCTCGCCTCCTCCTCCTCCGCTCAGCGCGGCGGCGGCGGCCATTTTCCGAACGGCTTTTACCACAGGACTCTTGATGAGGAGGGTGCGCGCGCGCCACCGATAACCTGGGAGCGCGCGCGCCGCCCCACGTCTCAGCCACGCCACGCCCTCCCTATCCCTCTAGCTTCCCTCAGTTCCCTTACCCACCACTATCCGGTCCCTTCATTCGGGGGCTGGGCCGCTCCACCCATGCTTATTTCTGATTGGGCAGTGGAGACGTCATTCCGAAAACTCGCGTGTGATTGGCTGTGTAGTAAGCGAAGGAGGCTGGAGTCCTGGTAGCTGCTCCATGAATTGGCGGAAGTTTCTGTCAATTACTGCCCAGGTGGAGGAGAGAGGAAGCCCTTCCTGACTGTTGATTGGATGATGGTAATTTAATGAGGCTGCGCCAATTGGGCGTTCTTAGCTGTCGGTTTAGGAAAGTGGGCGTGACAGGACATTTGGGGTGGTCTAGCGGTTGGGATTTGAATATTAACGCTTTTAACAGTCTTCTCTGCTGTTTTCTCTGCTGAAGCTTCTAAGGCTTATTTACTTGTCCCTGTTATAAACCGGCTAATGTCTACCGGTCACATACACACGTACTTGCACATATACTCATCTAACACGCACTTTGAACCCATTCATTTGTGTCTATCCGTACCTTTAGGGAAGGCAACCTCCCCTTCCCCCGCCTCTTTTCGCACCACTGCAGGTCCGTATAAACGCAGCCATAAGAATCAGGCCACATCAAGTGCATTTTTGCGGAAGGTGGGCCTTTTCTCAGGACCAGGATAGCATGCCCAAAGGCTCCTCTTTTCGACCCCAGTGTTAATGGGGCAGCTAGAACTCTGGGTCTGGAGTCAGATACGTCTTAGCTGTGTGACCTTGGGTAAGTCACTTAGTCTCGTTTTCCTCATCTGTAGAATAAGGATGGTAACAATAGCACCGGTCTCCCAAGCTTGTTATGAGATAATTGTAAAGCCCTTAGCGCACCGTGCCTGGTCCATACATATTAAGTGCTATATAAATGTGAGCTGATACGACAGCCTTACACCTTGGATCATACGGCATGTTGCTATAGGATGCAGTTTCCACAGCCAATCTACACTTGCTTGCCAGTGACTTTTCCATACTGGCCGACTTGCAGTTTCGAGAACAGGAACTCTTTTTCCTCACCTTCCCATCTTGGAATCTCTAGCTGCTTTCAAGGCTCATCTCAAGTTTCATTTCCTAATAACAATAGCTCAGATTTCTATAGAACTTTAAGATTTGCAAAACACCACATGTTTTTTCTCATTTTGATTCTCAAAACACTGGGAGTTACGTACTAATATTATCTCAACTAGGGAAACAAGCTGAGGAAGACTAAGTGATTTGTCAGGGTCACAGAGCTAGTCAGGCAGCATTTGAATGCTGGTCTAACTGATTTCCCAAATTACACTGTATTTACATTTGATAACATCCTTAGGAAATAGGCCATCTCTAGGCTCCCCCCCCAAGTTAAATAACGATATGGAGTCAGGAAGATCTGAGTTCAAATCCTGCCTCAGACATTTAGTAGTTGTGTGATCCTGGGCAAGCCACTTCACCCTGTTTGCCTCAGTTTCCTCATCTGTAAAATGAGCTGGAGAAGGAAATGGCAAACTACTCCAGTATATCTGCCAAGAAAACCCCAAATGGGGTCACAGAGAGTTGGACAGGACTGAACAACAAAAGTGGAAATATTAACAATACCATTTTCAGATTGCTATGCCCAGCACAGCCCAGATTCTTCCTTCCAAATCAGAAAAGCTTTGAGTATGGACCCAGCGATGGGCTGTGTGCCTCTTGCTCCAGGACCAGCTGAGCTGACCACAGACTGAGTAGAGACATCGCTGTTGATTCCTCAGTTCCAAATGCATCTTATACTAGAGACAGAATGAGAGAGACATTTGTGGGTATCACCAGGTTAAGAATTTGTTTGGCTTGTCTATGCATCAATGGTGTCTTCCAAAGTCTTAGTAAAATTTGAAACTGTTAATACTGCACTAAGACTTTGGGGACACACTATATTTGTTCCAACACTTTGGTTATTCTTTTTGTTTGTTTTTCCAATGTGGAGTGAGGTGGGGGTAGGAGAGATGGTAAAAAAAAAGTATCTTGTATCTATTTTGAATATACAAGAGGCAACACGGTGTAAAGGATGGAGAGCCAGGCTCAGAGCCAGATACCTGGCTTCAAGCCCCTGTTCCAACACATAGTGACTGTGTGACTGGGGAAGGGGGTGGGGGGTAGGGGTCACGTGACCTCGTAGTGTCCTAGAAAACTCTCTGTAATTTATTTGCAAAGAAAGTTCCAACCTGCATTGGTAGAAGGATTTTCCTCACTCTAAAGTTACCTATCCCACTGGTTCTCAAACATTTTAGTCTCAGGCCCTCTTTATACTCTTAAAAATTATTGAAGATACTTCTAAAGAGCTTTTGTTTATGTGGGTTATTTCTATTGTTATTTATTATGTTAGAAATTAAAACACCTTCGTGATGGAAAATGCTATCCACATCCAAAGAAAGAACTATGGAATTTGAATGCAGATCGAAGCGTACTATTTGCAATTTTTTTTTCTTTCTGTTGAGTTTCATTTCCTCTTTCTGATGGTTCCTTCTATTGGTTCTAATTTTTACTTACATCACTAATCTGAAAATATGTTTAATAAGAATGTGTATATGTATAGCTTATATCAGATTGTGTGCCGTCTTGGGGAGGGTGGTGGGGAGGAAGGGGGAGAAAAATTTTAAACTCAAAAGTATATGGAAGTGATTGTTGATAAATCAAAATTAATTAATAAAAAAGGAAAGCTAATTGAGACTATAAAAAAAATTAAAACACCTTAGTATTATTATGGAAATAGTTTTGAGGGGCAGCTAGGTGCTGCAGTGGATAGAGCACCATTCCTGAAGTCAGGATGGACCTGAGTTCAAATCCAAACTCAGACACATAACACTCACTAGCTGTGTGACTCTGGGCAAGTCACTTAATCTCAATTGCCTCACTGAAAAAAAAGAGAAAATAGTTTTGACCTTGCAGACCCCCGAAAAGGTCTCTGGGTTCCCTGGACAAGATTTTAAGAACTGCCATATACTGAAATCACCAGTATAGTCATTCACTTCTTTGAATATACCTATATATATAGCTCCCCTCACTTGGTTGTAAGCTCATAGAGACCAGGGGCTGTCTTTTGCCTTTCTCTGTATCCCCTTGGCTTTTCACTGAGCCCTGCACATAGTGGGCAATTAATAAATGTTTATTGACTGGATGACTGACTAAGGCAAAAGATACTCTGCCCCCAAGGAGCTCACAATCTAACGGGGGAGACAAGCAAACAACCATATACAAACAAGCCATATCTAGGATAAAAAAAGGAATAATCAAGAGAGAAGGCACTAAAATGAAAGGGGATCAAGAAAGGCTTCCTGTTTCACTGGATCTAAGCGTTCACGGTGGGGAGAAAGGTGAAAGAAGACTGGAAAGGTAGGGAGGACAGGTTAGAAGGGCTTTATAAGCCAGAGAGGGATTTCTCCTGGATCCAGGAGATGCTGGGGAGACACTGGAGTTTGTTGAAGGGTGACATGGTCAGACCTGCACTTTAGGAAGATCACATGAGGCAGGTAGACCCACTAGCCGGCTATTGCTGTTGTCCAGGTGTAAGGTGATGAGAGGCTGTACCAGGGTGGTAGAAGTATCAGAGAAGAAAAGGGAGTGGATTGTTAGGAACGTAAAATCAACAGACTTTGGCAACAGATTGGGGGGAGGGGAAGAGACACAGACACAGAGGGGGAGAGAGAGAGACAGAGACCGAGACAGAAAGAGAGATTGAGAAAGAGAGAGAGAGAGAGAGAGAGAGAGAGAGAGAGAGAGAGAGAGAGATTTGGGGTCAGACTTATGGAAGTGACTGTTATTGAACTCATATAATCTTTGCACTTATTTCTTTTTTTTTCAGATGTTACATTACCTTTTAGTTTTTAATTTAATTTATTTTTTTGTTATGTTTTGAGTTCTGAACTGTCTCCTCCCTCCCCACCTCCCCACTTGAGAAAGATAACCATTTAATACAGATGTATATGTAAAACCATACTATGCATACTTCTGTTCATCAGTTCTTTCTCTGAAGGTGGATAGCATCTTCCTTCAAAGGCCCTTTAGAGTTGATTTGAGTATTTATAATACTCAAAATAACTTAGTCTTTCACAGTTGTTTTTCCAATAATATTGCTGTGTACAGTGTTCTCTTGGTTCTGCTCATTTTACTCTTCATTATTTCATGCAATTCTTTCCATGTTTTCTAAAATCAACTTACTCATTATTTCTATTTAAAAAATTTTTTTTAGTAAATGGTATTTTATTGTTTCCAATTACATGTAAAGATAGTTTTCAACATTCATTTTTTATAAGATTTTGAGTTCCAAATTTTTCTCCCTCCCTACCATCCCCCCTCCCCAAGATGACAAGCAATCTGATATAGGTTATACATGTGCAATCATGTTGAACATATTTCCACATTAGTCATATTGTAAAAAAAGAAACAGAACAAAAGAGAAAAGCCACAAAAAACAAAAAAAGTACAAATAGTATGCTTCTATCTGCATTCAGACTCCACAATTCTTTCCCTGGATGTGGATAGTGATGGGGTGCTTGGTTGCTTGTGTTTGGGTACTTGTGATTGTACTTGGACCCCAATTTCTCCCTGGTCTCAGAAACACTGTCTCTGACAATTTCCCCCCAACCCAAGGACACGGTGCCTAGTAATTACTCATGAGTGGGCCCCAGAAAGACTCTTATCTCTCTCCCTGGTGCAGCTACACAAAGCTGGGGGAGAGAGTGCTGGGCTGCTCAGGCCCCAGCCCTCAGATCATGTCTCTGGAAGCCTCCCAATTCCTTAGTGAGCTCCTGTCTTGTGAGAAAACTTTCCTTTGTTGCAGAGCATTCTCTAATCAGGACAGAAAGAGAGGGATGTCTTGTCTGGCCCAAGGAGTTTTGTCCTTGGCTGGCCCAGGGACTCTTCCTTCTGCCAGATTCCCAAGATCCAT